CTCTCAATCATAGACTATAAGAATGAATGATAATGATGAGTATTCATGGGAAGAGTTCAAATCAAATAAAAATAATTCCACTACGAATACTACTACTAATACTGGAATCGCTATGGATTCAGTGGGAAGTACCGCAAAATAAACATCGGATTCAACTGACACTATAATTCTTGATACTATCCAGTTAAATATCCGATTAAGATATAACTATCCACATTTGCAAGCATTTGTTAATGAAAGTTATGCAACCAAATGAGCATCTTCGTTCCAATGAAAATGACGAATGAGTTTCAGTACTTCATCAATATACACTCATATCGACTCGTGAACCGATCGATAGGAGTAATCAAAGCATACGTACAATATATCGATCTAATTTGTTCATTCGAAAAAATGACGCTTTCGAACCATGGAATTTCAATTTTTTACTTAATCTTTTTGAACTTCATTATCAATGCAATGATCCGAATCGAAACGAATTTCCAAAAGTGTGGAAAACAAGTCCAACGACTAAAGTTCACGTGGATCTTGGTGGAAAATGTCGAAAAGGAAAATGTCGAAAGAGGAAAATGTCGAAAAATATCAAGAGAGGAAAACGTCGAAAGGGAAAATGTCGAAAAGGAAAACGTCGAAGAGGAAAATGTCGAAAGTTTAAACAACTTGAGAGAAAGATAGAAATGATTATATTTATATTCTTGATATGCATAAGAAATGCTATGTTTTACTAATGTAGAATAAAAAAAAGACAATGCTGACAGTATAATAAAATTTCATTTTTTTTTGTTTCCAATTAACAATGATAAACCTGATAATAATTCATTTGCGTTGATTTCCTTCTTTAGAAATCGATCATGAAGAGTATCAAATCTCATTTGAAAAGCTTTTGTTTTTTTCGATTGTTGTGGAGCTGATGCACCAGCATCAAGTTGTGTTGAAATATGTTCAAAACGAACATGTTCACTTTGAATTAATTGTATAAAACTCCAAATATTCGGGTGCTTTCTTGACAATCTAGTTGCAAATCGAAGGTTATAAGCTAAAATACAAATAATGCAAGATGTAACTTCGAAAATGAAATAAACAGAGAACAACAATATTCTTACCTTCTGAAGTGTTATTCGTTCGATGGTTAACGTTATGAAAATTCCACATACGAATCGGAACAACACCATGCATCCACTGATGTTTAAAGTATAATAATAAATCACTTAACGATGTTGACATAATTGTTTGTAAACGTTGAAATTGATTCTCCACTTCATTATTCGGCATAAGACTTAAAGCCATAAGTTGACGACTTTGATCACGAATAGTTTCATTATGTAAATAATCATTTGCCAAACCTAAATTCGTAATCTTTCGATGAATAGCTTGATTGAAATGAAACATACATCCATGATGGACTGCAGTAGGAAACTAATTAAAAAAATCAATACCTTAGACATGTTAAACGCTTATCGTGAAAGTATAAAGGCTCACTTCTTGTTTTAAAACAGGCATTAAGGCCGGTTCATAATCTGTTATAACACGTTGTGGATGGAATTATTTACCCATAAAATTAGCTTGTATTTTTAGTTGTTCAATTAATTCTGTATATGATTTGGTACGTTTATTTGGTAAAAGACAAAATGCTACTGGTAATCCTGCCACAAAAGAGTACTAATATAACCATTCGAGATATTATAAATAATTTATTACATACCTTGACCAAATTTATGAGCATGTATCAAGTACACTTGTTTGAAATGAGCTGGTGTTGTATCAAATGTACCATCCATAAAAATTGTATCACTTTTAAATAATAATTCTAATTGTTGATCACTTGAAAATACAAGAATTCGATCTTTACCACGTTTTGTAAATAAATCTATTAATAAAAATCGTTTAGAAGATAGTGTTTGTTGATATAATTCTGGTATATCAAACACAATGGTTGATGGTATAACAGGTGTATTTTTTCTACGTGCTTTACTCATATTGGATCCTTAGTATTAAAATAAAATATTTTAAGTGAATTATTTTACTTATGTGCTTAGTGATACATACGATATTGAACGACAGTTGGTAAGATTGCGGTTGCTCCCTTTGAAAGATTTGCCTTCACAATTTCCTCGTCATATATTTTTGTGATGGGT